CTACAATTCTTTATTCTTCACAAGAAAAGTTTGGATTTTTGGAACCTAAGAAACAAGCACAATAGTGGAATTGCTAATCCTAATTCATCATCTTCAGTTGGACGTAACTCATGTTTAACTCTCTCTTAAAAGTTAAAAACTTAGAATTTAAAATCAGTTTTTTGACTTTTTTCTATTTACGAAGTAATGGGAGTATTGTTTAATCTATGTTTTCCATTTACGTGATATTATTTTTCTCCTGGAGTAGCATAAAAGCCATTTGGCCCATTCCTCATTAGCCATATGTACTCAAATTTGTTTGTCTCCTAAATGCTAATAGTCAAAATAGATTTTTAAAAAAAATATAATAATCTGCAATTTTGCATATGTCTAGAACTCAAGATAAGGCTTTTGCTCTCTTGGTTTGCTTTGATTCTTCCCCAACTTTTGATGTGTTTAATACAGTTTATTCATCATGATAAGCTACTCGTGATAAGCATCAAATTGATATGGGGAATGACTTCACTTGAGAATGAACTTCTAATCATTTTGTTTGAACTCTAAATTATTTGGTATTTTGATTAGTGTGCTTGAATGGTTCATTTGGGACATGATGATGTTTAAAATTTTTTGCTATGTTTACTTTTTTGTTGTTTTGAATGATTTTTTTTTCTATGTTTTGAAAAAATGCATTGATCACTTCATCTCTGAATGCAAAATTTACAATTTTTAAATACGCCTCTTAACCCGTTGGGTCAACCCGAACCCGATAGCTCTGGGTCATGAACAAGCATCCTTAGACCCGAACCCGAAGTGACCCGAACCCGAAGTGACCCGAACCCGATGTGACCGAACCCGAACCCGACCTGACCGACCGTTTTGCCAGGTCTAGTTATCTCTTTAGGTAATCGACTATCACTCCTTCTCCATCTAAAACCACTGTTTTTCCTCAAACAACCTACGCCCAGATCCAACAATGCACATGCACATGCACATGCACATGCACATGCACATGCACATACACATACACATACACATACACATACACATACACATACACATACACATACACATACACATACACATACACATACACATACACATACACATACACATACATATACATATCAGTGTAAAGTAACAATTTAAACTAAAAAAACTCGAAGTGGATGAACAAAACCTGTATTAACACAAAGGTGTTGCGTGAAAGACCCGCCTGCAACAAAGGCAACAGAAACGTTAAAGTGAATTAAAAAAGAATTAAACTTGAATTACAAGCTCAACCAATGAGGCGGGTGTCATATGTGTCCCATATCTTGCAAATAAAAAAAAGGCTAAAGCTACACGCAGAAGTGATGGTGGAAAGAAATCCATTGCATTCTCAGAAACTTACATTAATAGCTTCAAGCTGAGATTTATTGTGATTCGTCTCAATGAATTCCTTAAGAGGTTCTGAAATTTTCCATGCTCGATCGCCTTTATTTGAATTGCTTTCAGTGGCAGATAAAATTAAATCCTTAAATGGAAGAGAGCTAATAGACCACAGAGCAACATATTCCCGGACAATAGTTGATAAACTGCATACCTGCAAATTCAATCAGTATAGAAAATATAAAATATCGAAACGACTCCATTGATGTTGTCATATTAGTGCTCATTTTCTAGAATATCCATACACATTAATTATTAAATTAAACATTTCAACTTAACTCTAACCTAAAAATAATTCCGAATTCTAACCCCAGATATAGATCTACACCAGCCGCCCCTCCTTCCTCCCCCACCCCCACTTCTTTGCTCTTACCGCCACATTTCTCTTCTTCTCCCGAGATACCGTCGATTCAAAGGCGTCACCGTGCACCATAGCCCTTCCTAGTCCTCGCATTGACATCACCCTCCCCAGACACCACCAATGCTGCCGTTGCATGCCTCGCCCATCGTACGGTGATTTAAAATATCACGTGGATGTAACTTTTGATGTAAATTCTACAGTCTTTACATCACTCAAGTTTTGAATTTTTTGTTTCTTTTCTTTTTTTGCATTCACACAAAGACATTAGCATTGTGAACATTGTTCTTTTTTCTTCTCTAATGCAATGATAAATAACATCGTGGACATTGTCCATATGAAGCTACAATACATACAATACATACATACCATACACACCATACACACATACATATACACATACATACATACATACATATATACATACATACATACACACACACATACCTACACACACATACACATACATACATACTTTCTGCAAGTGAAAAACTTGTTTCTGTTGATCGCTGATCCCAGACGAGCCCATGATCCACCACGCCAATCCTAACGATGTGTGTCAATTCACAATCTTTCTCGCAATTCAGATCACAAACCCTATGAGATCCTCAAAATTATCGGATCTTACACTCCAACTCGCGATTTTGACTCCCTTGGATTCATCACTCGGAATATTGAAAAGTCCATCTTAGAACAGATGAGTCACATTTTCTTAATGCAAACCGCACATTAATTGTCCATAACAACAACAAAATAAGTTTTATTTGACCACATTCCTACACTGAAGAACATGCATGCTTTAACTTCTTTAGTGTAGTATAGTAACAAATCCTATTTCAGAGAGAATGAATTTTTAAACAGAGATTGATAATGCAATGAGGTGAATGTTGGCAAATCTGATAAATGAATAAAATGGGTATAAATGTAGGCAGAATATAGGTAAGCCAATCATTCAGATGATAATAAAAAATAAGGTTTGACATTGTTTTGGAACAATTACCTTGAGAACATACAGTTGGTTTTCTTTCCTGATTAGAGGTCGCATACTCATAAGCCTTGAACATTTCACAACCTTGTCTGTATTCAACTCCTTGTACTCCCCATTCAAGTGCATTCTAAGTTTTATTTTCTCTTGTTGACGATGCTCAACAAATGCAAATGCATAACTTTTGGGTGTTTTACCCACTTCAAACTACAAAACACCATGGTAGGCAAAGTAAAGAAAAAAAGAAATGTGAAAAAAGAAAGTGTTGGTTGAAATATCATGTAAGCAAAAACTATACAGGAACAATTTGATTTTTCAAAGGAATTATACTTGAACACTTTACATAAAAGAAAGCTTTCAAGCTAACCATGCAAAAGAAAGTAAAAGTAAAGATGAATGAACACCTTTTGTTTTGAAATCACCAATAGATCATTTTGTTTTATTGATTCCTCACACAACATCATTGGCAAGTGAAACCCGTCGAGTTCAGCTGTTTCCATTATCATTCCAAGCATCCAACCTGTTTCTTTAATGACCAAAAAATTACAAAAAATAAACCCATGGAGCTTCATTTACCTTAGGCATTTAGATGCACAACAATGATGTCCAATGAAAACTTAGAGAAACTGAGACATAATTCTAACTTTAGGGGTCGGGACTTCAAATTGTGATGCATTATATGCATAAACACAATGTTCCTAAGAGATTTACGCTCAGACTCTTGCTCAACATACTGCTTTCTGATGTGTACAGTAATAAAAGGGAAAGAACAACAATTAGATAGAAAAACATGTATTCTTATTTACACGTCCCAATTTTTTCTATGGTTGACTTTTCTTTTTTGAAGTTCACAAAATGACCAAATTTTATAGATAAAGTACAGTTAACTATGATGTGAAGTAAATATCATTAGAATCATTTTAAAATGTAGTTTAGAGCTATCGGGAAAATCAATAATTTTATTAATGGCTACACTGTTACATTAAGGACAACAAAGAGTCAAATAGGCAAGATAAATTGGAACCGAGGGAGTAACTGTTTACTAGTGTGCCATTGATGTTGGTAAACAATGACAACATGAGAAAAGCCACATTTAGTAATGCATAGTCTGTTGGTAATCATAAGCAAGCAATCCATAATCCATAATAAAATAGGAATAAAATCAATTAACTGTAAGCAACCATCAAGAGGGGCAACATTCTTTTATAAATAAAATGACTAAAATTTACTCTCTTTAAAGATGAGCAAAGAATATCTCTACTATTTGAAATCTTTATTAAGAAAGCACAAAAAATACATCTGTTACAATCGAAACTTTTAGCCACATTAAGCAACGTCATAGACAAATTTAGTCAAGAATTTAAATAGCTCTATCTTTAGCTTTTATTTATAATTCCCGTTTGTTGAATTTTACTAGGTCTGTTGTTGCTCTTGTGTGTCAAATTACTAATAAATTCACAACAAAAAAATCCAAATGATAAATGTATTCTGCTTGCGGAGAAATTGAAAAGTACAAGTTTGGCTTCGACATTTCCAAAATCTTATTTTAGCATTGACATTTTCAAAACACCATTAAAAATTGTCCAAAATGCTAAAAGTAATCACAAACGTGAAGCCTGCATCTAGATATAATACCTCCTTCATCGTCATCATCACTTTTATCTCTAGTAATCTGAGCTTTAGCTTCTTCAAATATAAGAGGCTCAAAAGTAGAAATATAGTCGTCAACGTCATTGTAAGTTTGCTTCACTTTTCTAAGGCCTGTAGCTTTCCCGTCGTCATTTTGGTCGCAGCTAGTTTCCTAACATCAATTTAACGAACAAATCAAAATTAAGCGAATTCCTCTCATTCAATCATTTATTTTTATTAAAATTCAGTGGTTTTACTTACTTTGGAGTATTTAAGGAGATAGTAATCCCAGCTAAGGATTATCTTGAAGAAACGTGTGATGCAAGCTTTATGATCCTCAGCCCCCATTATAAGATAGCCAGGAGATGCCTGAGAGATGAACGTGTGTAACTGATCTGGAGAAGGAGAATTCTATAGCTTAAGACTACGTCTTCTCATTCCAATTTCATTAAAATTCACTACATAGAAAACAGATACTGCCAAAAGCTAAACATTGGTAACTGGAGAAGAGCATGCCGAAGCTACTGCGTACCTGTTAAGCCGCTCACGGAGAAGGTGGATTCGGAAGGCGGCGAATTACTTGCCGGCGTGCTGCCGCCTTTGGTGCCGGCGGTGGACTTCCGAGCGTCCCTAGCTGTACTTCGTATATGGAGTTGCAAATTACGGTCTTGGTAAATTACGGTGAAATTTTAGGGGTTAGCTGGTTAAGCAAATATGGAGTAATTGGATATGGATTTGGATTTGGATTTGGGGCTTGTAAAATTAATGGGCGGGTGATAGTGCCCAAACCCGAAATGAGTAGACTCGTTACGAACCGAATTTGAGGCCCATAGTTGAATTCGCTTTGAATTTGAGCAAACTTTTAATTTTTAGTTTTTCTAGTTTATTTTGATTTTTTTTAGTTTCTTCAAATTCCTTTTAGTTTCCTTTAAATATTCTCATTTTATTTAATTTTTTTCTATTCTTCAATCAATTACTCTAAAAATAAAACATTGTTAATATGATTATTATTATTATTACAACTACCATGTTCAAAACTATAGTTTATAAATTATTTCATTTTTTTCATCTCACTATTTTTACGATTCGCACTCATTATAATTTATTTTCTTCAATTTTTTAATATGAATAGAACAATTTTTTTGTATATTTATCTACATGATAAAATAAGAAAACATCACTATTTTAAAATATAATAAAAATTTATGGATAAATTTGTTACATAGAAAGTTTTATTAATCTAAATTTATATAAAACCCCTAACCTTTCTCATTTTTATTTATTTCTAAATTTAATTTTGCTTTTTAATTTTTCTAATTTATAAAAAATTGAAAATCAAAATAGCTTAGAGAAAAAGATTAAAGTATGAGTAAAACATAAAATAATGTATAAAAATATAAGTTCTATGTCTTTATTCAAAAATAAGAGTTTAAATGAAAATAAAATATCAATCATGAATAAAATACGGAGTATACCATAAGTTTCTTTCTAAATGTGGGAAGAAAAATATTTTTTAGAATGAATGTAAAAGAAAATGTAGAATATTAATGTGTTTTTCTTAAAACTCGATCACTATGTAAGAATACATGATTTTGTAAACTTAAAGTATTCTTAACAAATAGTTTATATTAAATTAGAGTATACTATTTAAATATTGTGTGGATAAAATATACTCGTATATAACATGTAAGGTTCGCCATTAAAAAAGAGGAGGGAAAGTCTTTTAAAAAAAATCAAAGTGGTGTAATGTAATAAAAGATAAAGAGAGAAACATGGTGTTATAACTTAGAATTATGAGAGAAGGAGGGTAATGGTGTAAATTTACCACTCGGGCAAACTGTACAAAACCTGGTACTAGAATAGTCTGTTGGACTTAGAGAACGAAAGATGCAGAAAACCGAGAATGACTACGGACGGCAGTTCAATCCGAACCCGATCTCAACTGACCCGATCAACCACTAATAAATCTGAATCTGAATTGAGAATAAAATAATTTGAACTCGACCCAAAAAGTTTTACTCGAACCCGACATCGGGTCAGGTCGGGCGCGGGTTTATAATTTTACCCTACCCAACCTGAACTCGCACCTCACACGACTCAAACTCGAATATTTTATAACATAAAAGTCTTTCTATTGATATAACGAGCACTCTTACAATATCTTGACAAGGTGCTACAATATCAAGTATGCCTTTTATAAATATTTTTATTACTCCTTAATAAGAAAAATGAGACACGCAAAAAATTAGATTTAATATTTTTAAAATTACTGGGTACGTCGAATTGATTACTAGTTAAATTATAGATTCGAGTTTGGGATCGGGTTTCGGGTTTAAATGTCGGATTCGTGTCGGATCGATTTTTGGATTTAAAAGTCTTGATTTGGGTCGGGTTGGGATTTTAGTTTTAAAAGTCAGGTCGGATTCGAGTATAATAGTATCCGACCCAAACCCGACCCGTTGCCATCTATGAAAATGACCAGAATGACCGTAAGTGGAAACACTTGTAGTTCAATTGTTCTTGAGTGCAGGAAGAGTGCAGGGGGGTATTGCAAAATATGTTTTAGAATTGGAACCCGTCATTTGAGAGTTACAAAGAGGTTTATATGAAGATGGGGCGGGCGACAGAGCGCCGCGTATCCGCATTAACCCATGTTCCCATACGGAGCGAGCTGATTTCATTGTCTCACAGTGATTTGTCATACTCCATTGTCGTCTTGTGCTAATAAAACCTTCTTTGGCGCGTAGTGCCCAGCTGAGGATGTAGGAATATTCCCATAATCTTTTGTTAAAATCAGTCACTACCCTCGAACCACCTTTAGAGCTATTCATGCCGGTAGTTTCACACCATAGCAACCTACCCAGTACGTAGATTCACCGATCATGCGTTTTAAAGGGACAGAAGACCATCAGCATGAAGTCATGTACTCTGACCGGTAAGTCTACATATTGTACCGGTTGACTTCTCGAATTCGACCGATCGTCTATATTTTCGTTTAAATATTCCATTATGATATATTTGCATCTGACGGTCAACTGCGATGGGCTCGAATTCAGACCGAGTCTCAGGGTGAAATACACCCATTAGAGGGGGAAATGATGAAATCATTAAAAATGTTTTAAACAGACTGCATAGAAGTCAAAACAAAACAAAATAAATCAATTTATTGTATTAGAATATTGCTATAAAAATAGAATACCCGAGTATAAATTAACATCTCTCATTATATTTGAAAAAAATTACTTCATCTGTCCTAAAATGATTTATCTCTTTGTTATTATTTTTATATATTTTTTTGATCATTTGGTAAAATGAACTATTTTTATTATTTTTTGTTTAGTAAATATTTTAATCTAGTTTTAAAATATATATATAATAATTTTCATGCCAATTTATAAAAACAATCATTTTAAAATTTTATCTCATCATCTTAACGGGGGATATGAGACAAAGTAATTAACATACTTGAGTATTCATACCATATATCTAAATATAGGATGTTTCGCGTGCATTCACTTAAATATCCATTATCGTGGAACTGAAGACTCATTTTCAAACGATAAAATACTCATTTTCAGATTAGTGAAAACTCATTTATAAGTATAACTAAAATTTAGAAAAATAAATATTTAGTTACTCAAAAAATAAAATAAGTATCCCCGAGTGTATTATGGAGTCTTCTTTTTTTGGGGGTACAATCGCAGTTGTATCTTCTTCAAAAAATTACTGTGAGTTAAACAGATTTCATTTAACATCAATTTACTCCGTCAGTCAAAAAGTTCGCAGTGTTGACGGGGCAAAATTTGGCCGCCAGCCCTAGCAGCCGGCGAAGCCGAAAAACTCGCTATTGTCCTCCATTGCCGTCCATCTCGAGTTCTTCCATTTACAACACGACCAAGAACAACATCGAATCAAGAATGGAATAACGAAGGTGGTTATTTTGTACTTCAAGGTTCGATTCAGAAGAGCGGGATTCGGGAATAATGCGATTGCAGGTACACCGGGCGCAGAAGATTGCCCACATTTCTCGCAGCTTTTGCGGTCCTGCTCACAGCGAATCTCGCCATCCTTCTCATGTCGCCATCGCAGGAGCTGAGACGGTTTGGTTCACCAAAGCAATTTGCATACTCTGCGCTCGCAATCAGTCGCGTATGGATGTTTTTGGGTGCGATTATTTCCGGGAGAATCTTAATCCGATGATTGCTTTTGCTGTGATCGAACACATTAGTGGTAAATTGAATAACACGAGGTTGGCCTTTAGCTTCTTCCAATTCGCGAGACTCAATCTGAGTCTTGTTCATTCAGTTTACAGCTTCCAAGTGCTGCTGATGTCTCACTGCGAATTAAGTCTTCATGATTCGGTTAGATTATTGGTTGATTATATGAGAGCAGATGGGCATTTGTCAGATAGGTCGGTTTTAGAGTTTGTAGTATTGACACTTGCAAATGCAGGCAACTTTGAGGTTGCCAAGGAAATTTTGATTTCTGAATCTCATGTAATAAGCAATGGGAGATGTGGAAATTTTAGCCATTTTCTGCTTAATAAGTTTTTGAGTTTGTTGATGAAGAAAAACAGGGTTGATGAAGCTGTTAGTTTCTTCACAGATTATATTTTGAGGTCTCAGAGTTATTGTTTTGATACTTGCACATTCAACATTGTGATCCGAGGGCTGTGTCAGGCTGGAAGAGTTGACAATGCCTTTCCATTTTTCAGTAGTATGGAGAAATATGGTCGTCTTCCTGATCTTGTTACGTATAATACTCTTATAAGCGGGTTCTGTGGTATTGGTGATGTAGGCAGAGCTCAAAGTTTATTGAGAGAAATTCATTTGCTAGATCGGTTTTCCCCAGATGTCGTGACATATACATCTGTCATTTCAGGTTTTTGTAAGTTAGGTAGAATGGACGAGGCAGTCAATCTCATGGAAGAAATGATTTCTTCTGGGATCCGACCAAGCATAGTTACTTTTAATACTCTAATAAACGGGTTTGGCAAGATTAGAGACATGGTTTCAGCCATAAAGATGTATGACAGGATGTGCCTTGTCGGTTGCCCTCCTGATGTCATCACCTTCACTTCTCTCATCAATGGTCATTGCCAATCTGGTGATTTAGATCAAGGTTTGAAGCTATGGAATGAAATGAATGAAAAGAAGTTGTTCCCAAACGCATACACATTCTCTATTGTCATTCATGCCTTGTGCCAGAAAAATAGAATTACTGAAGCATGCAAGATATTGAAGCAATTGAAATGGAGAGCTGATATAGTTCCCAAACCATTCATATATAACCCCGTAGTCGATGGCCTTTGTAAGTCAGGAAATTTAGAACAGGCTAATGCCATTGCTGCAGATATGGAGGAGAAAGGGTGCCATCATGACACGATCACATTCACCATTCTCATTCTTGGCCATTGCATGAAAGGAAGAATGATTGATGCCGTTAATATTTTTAATAAGATGTTGACTTTGGGTTGCACTCCGGATGAATTGACCATAAACTGTTTCACTTCTCTCCTTCTGAAAGCTGGTATGGCCAAGGAAGCATATAGAATTAAGACTGTTGCGGCAAAGGATTCGCGAGATGTAAAGCCATCTTCAGGAACCGTTCTATTCAGGAATAATATTGAAGTGCCCATAGCTGCTTATAATAGTTAGAACCCATGGTTGTACACCGCTTTTCGATAAAACTTTTTAAGATCCTTCCAGACTGCTGCCTTGGCATGTGCTCGGCCCGTGCATGATAAAAAGACAACAGCTAGATCTGGACATCCTTTGGGCTTTCTTGAATTTTCACCTGTGTAGTTGATTCTCACATGTTGGTTTTATAGCCTGAACAGTTATAACAAATGGATTTAGTTGACATCTTGAGGCACATAATATGTCAAGGGAAGAGAACCACTTATATTCTCACACTGAACCTGCTGAGATGCAGAATGATTTTTGAATAGGCAATCAGTTATTCAATTTAGAAGGTTGGTCTTCTAAAGCACATACTGTTATCATGTTGGGAAAACTGCTATGCTGGTGGAAGCCTGTGGATATGGAAAACTGGGTAACCTACACTTCAGTTTCTGATATTCAGCATGAATTTGCATTTCAAATGAATTATTACATCTCCTCGGCAATACATTTGTACAAGAAATGGTTTTTATGAGCAGGTCAGCACAAAATATGATGTCCTTTCGCCATGATATTCTACTTTGGAAGAAGCCTAGCTGGTTGACACACCAGCAGTGAAGGAGCAAGCCTCAAGGTGTGTCTCAACAATTTTTACCAGTAATGCAAAATGAAGGTATGCTTAAAACAGGATACAGTGAGGTGTATGCATGGGGTTAAGGTGTATGCCTCATTGCGCAATGCTATGCGGTGTATACGGACTTAAGCAATAGGTTGTATCGAATTTTAATAAGTTGGGGCTCACAAAAAAGAAAGTCGGAAAATTCGAGAAGGGCGAAGGGAGTACTAAGAACCAAGGCTTACGCCTCATTGCGCCATGAGGCTTACACTTCAACTATGCAAGACACAATTATGAACGTTGCACACCTGTAGGAGAAAGTAATCTCATTTACTGCGGGATAAAATTCCAATATTTTATACTGATTCTATATCTGCTGTTCTGCTCAAGCTACCATAGAATTTAGCATTATGCCTTTTTTCTGGTGCAATAATGTTTACAATTTTTTGGATTCGAAAAGTATGTTTCGCTTTCTCTTGGTGTGTTCATCAGATAACCAATTCCAAGTGTCATGCTTTCCAATTATACTCTGTATTTAATAAGAAAGACAATTTTTCTGCGACACCGTTTTGTGCTGATTAGTCCTCTATAATGACTCCATGTTCAGGGCTATTGGTAGTGAAGACCAAAGGATGAGATGCCCAGAATCTATCTGTTGAAATAAAAAACTTACGATTACACAAGCCAGTAGACTAAGGGTGGTAAGGTATTTTCCTCCAAAACTCATTGTCTTAACTCTTAAGCTTACTTCTAATTTTATTTATTTGTATCTTTTCTGAAAATAAACCTTATATACTTTTTCCTGAAAATTGTGATATTATGATGGAACGAAACCATAACTTTTCCATTTCACACGGTAATCTGCTTTTTCTATTTTAACGGAGTATCTTTTTTTGTTTAAAAGTAGGGTCTTCCTTGATAAGAGAATTTTCGTTGAAAATGTTTGGTCCTAAACTGATTTGTAACTTCAATAGTGTTTTGTTGATTTTGTACAATTGGATTTTTCAAATTTTGTTTTAGCGATAGGAGAGAAACAATATTGATGCTTTCTTCCCCTCTGCCCTCTGGTTATTTTGGCTACCACCCAAAATCTTTTGTTTTGGCTAAGATTCAAAATCTTTCTTAAAGGGATGGCTGAGTAATTAAAGATTTGCATTTTTTTAGAGTTCAAAGTGCGAGTTGCATATTTTTGCAAGTTCTTAATTCATTAATTGTAAAACCCCCTACTAGTTCAAGGAATTATTCTTGTTCTTTTCTTTTCATTCTATTTTGGATTGTTGGATGCCATTAATCCATTTTTTGAGTTTTGGACGATATTAATCTCTCTTTTCAAAAAGTGTCATTGACCCGACCTTTACCCATTATTATTTTCTTTATACCAGTATTGAGTTAGCTTGTTAGAACTCTATTTTGCATCCTATATTTCTGATATCGAAAGAGAAAATAAAAAACAGATCACATATATCACCTACTTATGATCCAAACTGTCTGCTCCCTACGATTGAGAATGGTTTAGGCATTGAAGGAAGCGATGGATATCTCGCGTGAGGAGAACTCATGTCACCGGTCAATCGGAGGAAGTATAGACGGTCTGTGGATCATAAATAAATAGGTGATGTGTGTGGGTGTATTTTTTTTGTTTTTTTGGTTTCATCTCAAATATTTCGGGTAACACGCCATTTAAAACACGAGTTCTGATTCGATGTTGGTATAATGAAAATAATAAGGCAAAACACTAGGCTCAATGACATGTTTTTTGAAAGGTCGGATTTAAAAAATGGTGTCCAAAGATCTTATTTTGTGGGAAGATGAATATTTGTCGGGCAAGGATCTTTTGACCTTGGGTGCCTGGGTCATATTTTGACGGTGGCGTCTACGGTGTCCCGTTGGTAAAATTGATGGTTCCTACCCTCCTGCCCCCAAATCGCCAAATTGGGTTGCCCAAATTGGCGATCCGGGGGGGGGGGGGCAGGGGGTGTGCCGGGGTGAGATGCAGGGGGGTAGTACTATCAATTTTACCAACAGAGCACTGTAGGTGTCCTATTATGACCCGAGGTTTCAAGGTCAAAAAAACCGTTGTAGTATTTGTCACAGGTCTTCAAATTGTTTTCACAGATTTGTAATGTAAATGTGCCAGCTGCTGGGCAATTCTAGTTGCAGTTCAAGATGGTTTGTGTGGACAGGGAAGGAGGTGAGATGATGCTGCCCCTTAGAGGCCTTTGTTAGGAGAGAAAAAAATCAATTGCTTGGTACTTCTCCGTCTCAGAGTACTCGTCCTATTTGTTTTTTAGTCAAATTGGACACTTCAATCACTAACTACATTACATATTGAATTGATTTTTGAAAGATAAATTTAATAAAATTATTTTTGTACTAATATGTGTTGTAAGATAAATTTAATGAAACCATTTTTGTGTTAACTCGGGTTCAATGATATGGGCTCCGAGTAGAGTTGAGCTCGACTTGTTTCAAGCTCGAGCTCGAGCTTTAAAACTACACACATTTACAAAGCTTCTACGACACATATATTTTCACAATTACCGGTTTTAATCAAACTTTCGAGTCAAGCTGGTTTATTTGTGGACTGAGTATCAAAAATCAAAAGTAGCTAAAGCTCAGCTCATTTTCTCTAATAGTAAATGAGCCAAGCCAAAATCAAGCCATACTCGTTTTGTATAACATTTAACTTGTAGGCTTTATGACTGTAGTAGTATAGCTCCACAAATTGTAAACTTTGGAGTTCTGATCCTTGTAAAAGATGAGTATTTTGTTTCCGTGTTATTCCTATAAAAGTTACTTTAAGATGTGTTTCATTCGCCTGATTTGATCTGGTCTGATCCGATCTGATTGCAATTATAATTAAAGTTATTTTTGATCTGTTCTGATCTTATCCTATTATAATAAGAATAAGTAATAAGCAGAAAAAATAAGATGAACTGAATGTTGATTTACTCGAGTCATACATGCAATTAGTTAGAAAGCGGATGGATTTAGCAATACCCTTAAAATATATACGGAGCATTTATTTGTATGACTTACATGGCAGCCAAGAATATCCAAGCAGTTAGCTCATGTCAAACTCCCCTGCCTTCTATTTCCTCGGATTCCTCTCTTATATTGTACTCCCTATTGTACCGAAGGGGTTGAATGGCGGGAAACCCGGCGCCCGGGGCTCGAACTACCTCGTCACGAAGGACAACCGGGTTGTGTATCTTGGCGGGAAAAATACTGTCAAGGTGCGGGCGGGTGAAATTCTTCGCATTTTGGCCCCGGGCGGCGGCGGCTGGGGATCAAGTTAACGGGGGGGAGTTTTAGAGCACGGCCAATGCTAGGACTATTTTGGATCCTAATTATGGTCTCACAAATTGCCCAAAAGGATGTTGCTATGGCTAGTTTATGTTGATTTTCTTTATAGGACATGTTTGAAATGTTGCTCGATTGAAGTGTATCCCATATTCTTTATGTATGGTTGATATTTCGAATTAATGAAATGTTTAATGTATATAGATTTGCTACTTCAGGTTTACTCAAATATTTTACTTAGTTTGATATTACTTTGACATCATTTTTCACATATACACAAACGATCAACAACTATCTATGTATCGTACAAACAATTGTTGTCTGTGTATGAGAAGCATGATGTCAAAAATTATGGAGTTCTACTAGCTTCTTATGAATGTTTTACCTTCAACTCCGAAGTTAATAAAAGGGCAATGAAGCATCAAAATGGGTCTTTTTCTTTTGACATCGACCTATTATGAGACCGGTCAATTTGAGCACTCTACGATGTTCTGTTCAACTCCAAGATCCCCAACCCACACTCAAAATCCCCTACCCCTAAAGGACTTCCAATTTGGATTGACATTCTAGGGTTGGGGTAGGGGTATATTGGGAAGCAGTTGTGCTTAAATGGACATTATCAAGTGTCAAAATAACCTATATCCATTGAAACAAAAAGTAAAAGCTCCAAATGACACACAAGTCAGGCATTTCAAAGACATTAGAGCTACAAAATTTCTTTTTACCTAAAGAGACCCAAAACCACAACTTCTATGAATACAAATATTATAACTCCTCATTTTGATGGTTGACAAAATAAATATTCACCCAACATTGTCTGCCTCAACCGTTTCTTGATCGCCCATACATTTCATCTTCGAAGCCTTGGTAGAGTTTGAACAATGATTTGTGCTTCAATCTTGCCGATACAATTAGAACGAGCCAACATCGCACCCCTCAAAACATAAACTTTTGAGTGAAACCAAGCTAAGGGTGTGAAGGATTGGGGTGTAATCAGAACAGATTCCGTATTTAAACATAGGCATTCTTTTTATAGCTTTGGTCTTACTCGAATAGTGTAAGACAAAGGTTTCACACCATGACATCAAGATGTCACCATCTTCAAAAATTTTGATGGGGTAAACTGCAAGATGTTTCTTTCTAAGATAAATATCATGACCAAAAAAATTCGTTCCAAATAAGAAGAGCGTCACTATTAGGTTCACTAGCATGAGGTTCCGGTGCATAATGTTCATCAGCATCAGGTTCGACAACATAGAATTCATCAGCATAAACTTCATCACCACAAAGTTCAATAGGGAGACCAATGTAATAAAGAAACGAATCGGGTTTTATGTTTATGGCAAATTCCTTTGCCCAAGATCTTTCGTCTCCATATTGCTTCATCAGCCATATCACGATCCCATCATTACTATCCCAAAAACCCAAGCAATCACCCAAAGCAAACAAATGCATATAACTTCCAAAATGATCGAGAGGAATAGTAGGCAAAGAAAAAGTGTGGAATATTTCTGTTTCAAGATCAAAGCATGAAACCATTCGTGAGCCTATTGAACTGCATGCTAACCAATGGAGATTCCCATTCACAAAAACCCCTGGGTTTCCCCCATTCAAGTTAATTAAGCCGATCACCTTCAGCTTCAGTGCTCCTACACGATCCCGTTCCAAGCGTGTATACCTGACACACACATCTTTCAACTTCGGGCATCCTTTCATGGAATCGACCACGGGTAACCCTAACCAATTTATGCTCCCCAGTTCCGGTCACGCCGAATCCATAAGCTACACTGGGAAGATACTCATAGCAGGAATGATCTTCCTGAGGATTACCAAGTGTGACATATTCGCGAGTGACTGGGTTACAAATGTAAATATCAGGGGTGAGTCCGCTTGGATCACACATAAAAATCAAACTGTTAGCCGAACCATACAAGTGACAAAACAATCCGTAGAATGGTAAATTCAACTCGGTAACTGGATTGTAACTGGACCTGTATCCATCCAACCGATCAATACAAGTCTCAAACAATTTGCACTGAGTTAAATTCGGGTTTCCAAACAGTACCAGTCCGGGGGCTGAATTGGAGAGATGGAAGTTGGTGAAGTCACGAGACTCAATCAGATCCCGCCATGGCTTGGAAACGCACTTGCAGTTCGCGATGGTTCGGATTGGGAGCCTTGACAGGATATCTACGGCGATTTCCGGTGGTAGGTTTTCGAAAGCTCCTTGCTTGAATTTAGGGTTTATGAGAGTTTTAGGAGAGGAGCCATTGAGGTTGAAGGAATCCAGAGCGAGAGGAGTTCGTATACCGTACATCCGACTGTACCTAAAATTAGGTACAGCCGGCCCACTTAACCATTAAAACGCAAAAGCCCATTTACGGATCAAGCCCAAATATTTTCATTTGCCTATCCCCGCAATTTCCAAATCATCCCCCACCATCAAAATTCAAATTCATTCTCTAGAATCGAAGCGTTTCCTGCACAACATCACTGCGCTCGAAGCCATTGTCTGCGGCACAACATCATTGCGCTCGGAGGAAGATGACCATGCAGTAGGAAAAAATTGCAGAAGCTTCTTCTTCATTGAGGTATGAGATTTTTACTTTTATTATTGTTAAATATCCTCTCTGAATTCCGAATTTATCAAATCTTAATCGGAAAGATGTCAAACCCTAATTGGAACATTTTAAAACCAAAATCGTGTTGAGCTTCAAAGCAATTTCATCTGCTATTATACTAATTCTTGCATTGAAGTGTAAGCTACCAAAATCGTACGCACTTATACTCATTCTCATATAGAATGGTACTCGTTTGTAATCTGGATAGTTGTTAAGTTCATTCTCGTAAGGGCCATAGAAAATGTCACATAACATGTCCATTCAAGTAACTGATTTAATTATTTCCATTCTAGTATGTGTCATAACACATTGGCATGTATACTGGTACTCATTTTTATGGGTCCAGTACTTCTGCTTATGATAGATAGTAAAGTTCATCCATATAGGGATTGTAATATAATCATTGTCCTGTTTGGTAGAACACATTATGATTTATAATCATACTCATTTATACTCTCTGTAATTTGGTGTGCTTTTGATTCAAGTAATGGATTGAATTATGTCCATTCTTGTATGTGTTATCAGTGATTCTAATCTATAATGGTCCTCATTTGTAGTCCACACAGTAGGTGCATGTTATGTTTGTTATAGTAAAGCTCATTCATATTGGGATTTGTAATATGATCATTCTAATGTGTTCTAGTGTACATTATGACTTATTCTGGTACTCAATTATACTCTAAATACTGAATATGATCATTCTCATTCTGTATAGACAACTTAAAGCCCAAGGTTTTTATTTTTGTGTGTGGTAGGAATATGATCATTCTCATAACTGCTGGTACCCCTGTTACAGAATAATACTCAGTTATTGAACTGTGTAGCTAAAAATCTTATTGAAATGTGCATGAAATTTATGCAGTAAAAAAACCATCACGGAAATCCCTCTACTACGTGAAGAACCAAATGTTTTTACTAAAGTAAATCTGAAGAAAAGGAAAGGGACTGAGAAGGAACCCAAGTTTGGGAGAAAAATGCAACTGAGAAAGAGAAAGAAAGGGATACCAAGAGAAAATGTTGAGCAGGAAAAGAATCAAGCTCAAGAAGATCCAATTTCACAAGAAGATGAAATGCTGAGCATTGAAAAGATTGACCAATTAAACGGTGAGAAGTTTTTGGTAGCAGAAGTTGAGCTCGAAGGAAACACTAAGCAAAGGAGTTCGAGAGATGAGCTAAACACTGACCAAGAAATTGGTGAAGATGAAGTAAACACTGAACAAGAGTGTAGTGAAGAGGAAGAATGTGCTGGGAAGAAGAAAAGTGCAACAGTGGAAAGAAAAGGTAAGATGCAATACAAAGAGAGAGAGAAAATTAAACAAAGAAAGAGAAAGAAGCGGGTGCTAGGAGAAGAAGGAGAACTGAATAAGATTGGTGTGAAGTCCATAAAGACAAGGATTTCACCAAAACAATAACTAAACTGTTAAAAAATCTGAGTGAAGAACAAAAAGAGG